TATATATATATATATATTTCCAATTGCAGCAACACACACATATATAGTTGAACAAGTGCATGGCAAATTAAGTAGTTCAAGTATTGCAGTCGGTTAACATTCTAACAAATATACATAAGATCATAAGGTCAATATTAAATGCATGACAGCTTGGATATGCTTATGCGTAAAACTAAAATATAAAATACATATAAATCACGTACTTTTCGTTCAAAACCTTATTCATGTATGAAAATCTAATTACCTATACATAGGATATATATAGAAATAGCTGAGGAAGCTAATTGGTATTTTGATTGATTATATAGTTTTGACATATGAATGCGCGGATAGGATATGACTTAGATATTTTGATTTGGCATAGTCCTTCCACGAGAACCACTTTCCCTCTGAGCATTGAAATAAACAGCAGCAACAGGCGACTCCAGATTGTAAATCTCGGCAAAGTCTCTTGTGCTGAAGTTCTGGCGCCATCCCGGCGCGTACACTGTTTGCCTTCCGCGTTGTCGGAACAACACGCACACGAAACGATGTATCCCCACCGTCGGCCGCGGACTCTCGTAGCACACTATCTCTTGCCCTACACGGGCCATTTTTAACTTATGATTAAAGTGTGTGAAAAATGTGTTTTTGTTTTTAATCTCTCTTAGCTAGGAATGTGTAATGCAACCGTGTGACACATAAAGTTGATGCATGGAGAGAAATAATTGATAGATATCTTATTCTTATGTGTATCCAATAATTTAAATCAATAATTTATGTTATTAAAAAAAATGAGAAATTAGACGTAAGTTGATTAAAAATAACTGATATTAATCAATGATTTATCAAGACGAATTAATGATTAATCAGTAAACTATTTACCAAAGCTGGCCCCGGTGGTTGCTGGAATATTAGTCACCAACCTGTAAAAGCAATTAAAGAGAATTAAAACACGTTGCACAGAGGAATATTTATAAATGCTTTTGGTGTTTTTCAACAATGACAGTTTGATCTTTGAATTCTGTTGGTCTAACTAATTGTTAAATTTAATGTTTTCGGCAGTTTTGATCCTTTTAACCCTAAAAACCATGAGATTTTTCAAATTTAATACGTGCCTTGGTGTAAAAACTTGGGGTTTTACAAAAATAAATAAATAAAATTGCATAATTGTGTGAAAATCTAAATTTTAATGAGATAGGGACGCGTGTTATATAGTTTTCTTTTTTGAACAAATATTCTCCCTCTTCCATGATGCTCCAAAGTCTAAAACCTAGTAAAAAGTACAAGGTTTTGTCTTTTGTTTTTTTGTTTTGGGTGGTCCTTTACTTATGTTATAAATGAATAATACTGGACGTCAGACAGAGCACAAAGGAAAGGGCATCTACAGAAAGAAAAAGCCACGTATTATTCCATGAAGGAAATAGCAAAGCAGCGAGTATGTTTGGTAGGAAAGAAAAGTAGAAGGAATGAAGAAGGTGGAGGGATTTTGGGAGGAAAAATGAAAATATAGGTTGTTTGGTAGGAGAGAAAAGAGAAAGGAAGAGAAAATAGAGTGAAAAATAATACATGTGAGCCCCACCATTTTTTTCTTTCCACAAGTGGGCAGAAAATAGGATGAAAAATGGGGACAACTCATTAAAGTGAGCAAAGTTACTAAACTACTATTTTCTCCATCAACATCCAAGCAAAAAATTTAAGGGTATAAAAGTAATTTACGAGTAAGATTTTTTCTTTCCTCCTAATTTAACTTTCAATACCCTCATTTTCTTTCCATCTTCTCATACCAAACAACATAAAAGAAAATCAATTTCCTTTCCATCATTGCTATTTTTCATCACTTTCATATTTCCTTTCTATCCTATTTTCTTTCCTTCCTACCAAACATAGCATTAGGGCTTTTCAGTTGTGAGTCACAGAGTGGTAAAAGAAAAATTGATCACTTATATATAGCCTTTTATTTTTTATTTTATTTTTTTCTCTCCTTATACACACGTACACATGCAGTGGTGTTTGCCTCGTTCGAACTTTGGTTTGGTATAAATTTCTTATTGGTGCCAATTTAATTAGAATGTACTGTTTTATTGATATCAAATGTCTTCCCTACCATTTATATTAGGGAATTTTTTTACTCTTCCATATGATGTACTTTATGCATGTATGTAACCGGTTTAATTTCGTACATACGGGTATCTATAACCAAGTTTATATTAGGAAAAAAAAATCAAAAACATCACTCAAATTAGTAAAAATATTATTTATATCACTCCATTAAAAAAACAAACAATTGTCATTCAATTAATAAAAAGAAAATAAAATACTACTATGACACCTAATTATCTATAATGACATAAATAATAAGTCTGCATAAAACCATAGCAAATCATATATGGGACGTTTGATTTATGAGTTCAGAACCATGATTCATGAGTCTGATTTTTGAAATTCAAATTTTTTGTGAGACAAAAACACTGTAGAGAATCAAAAACTATGATTCAGAACCATGGACGAACCGTTGAAACAAACATCCTAGTAATTTTTCCTTAATTATGTTATATTCAAAATATTTACAAGGACAAAGAAAACTTGAAGATAGTTTTTAAGATTAAGTGTGAGAGAAAACGGGGCTCTCAAATTAGTTAGCATTGTTTGGTTAATTTGAAAAGATAAAAGGTTGTTTGAATTCTTGATATGACATTTAAACCATCAAAAATCAGAGGATTTTTAAATTCAACCCCTTAAGTTTTCAAGATTTGAACCTAAGATTAAATTATACTTTTCAAACCCACATATTTTAAACTAAAAAAGTTGGTTTGAACCTGCGAACCAAACGAGATTACAACATGTGTATCATTGTGCATGACAACATGTTTAGCATTGCTTTCTCATAGTTGTTTTTGTACCAAGTTTAAAAACTGCTTTAAAAAGTACTTAGATAATTTTTAAAAAAGTTTTGATCATCCAAAAAGAGCTTTCAGTCAAAATTACATTATATATTCTTGAAAATAATGCTCTTTTCAGAAGATTTTGAAATTGTAGCAGAGCTTTAATATAAGATTCTATGAACTTGACTTTTAGCTTTTTTATTGCGTATTAGAACATTTAAATTTTATTATTACATCATTAAAAAACGTGGTGTCAAACTTTAGTTGATTAGAACTTGTACTTTTCTCCTACTATTTGAAAACATTATAAGTAAAAACATAGGCAAACTGACTCATATGGACTGTACTTAAATTTAGTTCCCTATATATTTTTGGTGAGTGTCCATCAAGCTGATAAATCTTATCTGATGAAGATTGATGAGGATATGGGAATTGATCAGGATTAAGGAATAATGGAATATATTCAGAAGTGGAGAAGCCAAGAAAAGATAGGCTTGAGATGCTTTTGGGTACAAAATATAATGGTATATGGAGAGAGAATTTGTAAATCGGGTATACATACCAATGCAAGTATTCCCTCAGATTTGGGTCACTTGGACTAGGAGCATCAGGATCAACCATAACCTATGATAGTATGAAATGACAAAACTGAGATACAAGAATAAGAAAAAGGGAAAAAATAAATTTATATGCATGAGAAATTAACAGAATGACCACATATAATTATGGGACAAATTTATAAGCATGAGAATTAACAAAATGTCCACGGAGTAATAAGAAGTAGAAAAATATTTTAATTTACTAGGTAAATAATCTATTCAGTAGTTTTGTATCACTTTAGTCCTCTAACTTTCTATCTTGACAAATTACTTCTTGAACTTTCATTTTCAATAGTTTTAGTCTCTGATATTAAAATTAATAAATAATTTCTGAAGTTTAAACAAGAGAATTTCATCCTTGTTACATATTAAGTGAAAGTTTTACATAACTAATAGTTACATTACATGCAAAATCTTCTAATTTTTAAGGTTTTTAAAATAATGAAGAGAATATTTTGTATTTGATGTAACTATTTCTGTACAATTTTTAGTTACTATGCTATTGAGAGGTGAGTATATGTTTTAAATTTCAGAAGTCCTTTATCAATCTTAGTGTCAAGAACTTAAAATTGTCAAAAACTCAAAAGTGAAAAAAGTAATCTGCCAAGAAATATTTAGAGACCAGAGAGACACAATATTCACAGTTCTAATACCCCTTCCATGTTGTTTAAATTACATTTTACACCTACTTTTACAGATTATATTAATTTTTTTTATATGGCATAATATCAAGAGTCAGCCCAAAAATAAACAACACTTTAACCGATGAAATCCCATCCTTAATTTTGTAATCAAACTCATTAAGACTCCAACCGTGTGAGCAATGGGTTCTCCCGATTGTGGAACATTACAAAAAAATTTTGCCCTTTTCCTAAGCCCTATAAAAAATTCCGAGCTTTATTTCATTATCTGTCAACTTAAAAGTATGGAAATTTCATTATCTATCAGCTTAAAAGTATGGAATACTAAGAAAATGACGTACAAATAATAAAAAAGTTAAAAATTAAATGCATATTCCCTCATTTTTTTATTTTTATTTTTTTGGAGATAGCTAGGTTGTCGCCACCCACAACTTATTTGATGGGCCATATTATGGTGCACTTTATAGGAACACAACAAGTTATAGAGATATTTAGGTAATATGTCATAGTTTTTAAGGTTAGATTGTCATGAGGACTAAAATCATTACAAAATATACAACGGTGACATCATTTAAATTTTGTGTATTGAGTAAAATTATATTTATACTTTTGTGTATTTCATTCAGTATCATTGGATTTTGTGAGAATTTTGTGATTTTTCATGTATATATTTGTAACTTTTATGGATTTCAAGACTTTTAAGTATATTTGGTTATGACATTCTCTGCAATAGTTTATGTCTTTTGGCTCCTGTAAAGTGTCCTAAGTTTTAGGCTTGGATTGACATATGCCAGCAGACATAAACTATTGCAGAGAATGTCACATCTAAAGATACTTAAAAATCATAAAATTCATAAAAATCACAAAATATTCATGAAAACCACAAAACTCTTACAAAATGCAAAGATACTAAATCAAATACACAAAAGAACGGCATGATTTTGCTCAGTACACAAAATTTAAATGATATCACTGTGATATATTTTGTAATAGTTTTAGTATCTATGGCAAAAGTCAATTCAACCTTAAAAATCATGATATATTGTCTAAATATCTCAAGAACGGGTTCAAACACCCTGGTTTGAGTTCAAACAATGTTTTCTCTAATAAAAAAATTTGAATTTAAAAGTTCTGCTCAATATTTTTTTTTTCACAAATTTTGAAGGAATAATGTAGTAAATAACATATTTATGAAACTAAATTAAGCAAATAACATATTTTAAAACTATTTAAAGTAAATAGCAGTTTACTATAAATGTTTTATTTACGACTAGTGAAAAGATTTTTTCCACGTAAATTTTCTTTTTACGATCGATAAAAAGATTTTTTTCATGTAATTAAAGATTTTTTTACCATGTCAATTATTTTTTACCAATTGTAAATGATACATTTAAACGGTAATTGTTATTTACTCCAAATAGTTTAAAAATCTGCTATTTACTAAATTTAAATTTTTAAATATGTTATTCATTATAATTTTTGAATTCTAATTCAAACCACCTGATACGAACCTTCCAAACGAGCCCCATAATAATTGTAATTTGTGTGCATGCACTACAAGAAAAAAGGAATCAACGACCAAAAACTTGGCCGCAGAAGCAAGATTTTTGATCGCTAGCTAAAGCTGGTCGCTGAAGCAATATATGCACGTAAGTATATGTAGAAAGTAATGTAAAACATACCAAAGTGTACAAATTTCGGAGATCATCCCCGCCAATATCAGCTCTAGGTTGATTGAGAATTTGAGAAGGCTTGAGTTCACAACCATTGTTAACCACCTTATTACCATAAGTCACCCTAAGAGAGATGGACTTTGTAAAGGGGTCAAGAACATCTGGTATTACTCTGCCAACCAGAAGAGGGTCCGTAGGCATGATATAAAGAAATTTGAGGAAATAAGTAAAACAAGCACTGAAATAGGAAAAGAAACCAAGAAAGTTTTATTTCTATATTTTCATGAATATGTGACTCGTATTCAAGAAGGAGGATGGCTATTTATACTATACTCTGAATGCGCGCGCATAAATATCTTCCTTTTAACAAACGTAACATCAACAGGTTCTGCTTCCATTGCATGTTTGTTATTGTGCCTTTTTGAGATATTATTCAACAATTTATATGTTGGCTATATGACCCGTCGACTGGATTCCTCTTTCTCACTTTTAACTGTAAAGCGGAGGGGACCAATTTCTTTTATTCGATTTCACAAGTCCGCACTTGAAACGGGGACAAAATTAGGTAAGTTTATGACTTATAGTAACAATTTCCTTAGTAAGTTGTATACGTTACAAATTATTTTCGTATTTTAAATTAATACACGAGCAATAGCGATTGAGAATGTTGGTTTACAAATACAGACACACATAACTCAGAAAGATCAGAAGGCGCCTTAGTTAATGGTGCCATTTGCTGAAATATTGTAAATGGTGAAATCTTCAATCAATTTGTTTCAAGGGTTAAGTGTCGTCTTGAGTTGCTAGTTGATTGCCTTGACTTGATCTAGCATATAAATAAGAATATAAAGTTTGAGAGATAAGAAAACAAGAATTTATAGCGATTCATGCTCAACTTAAAACTACGTCCGGAATTTATAGAGTTGCACTGTGATAGATGAAAAGTATATATATCCTTGAGAGTAAGATTTTGGCTTTGTTCATTTCACCGATTCAAGTTTTCTACAGTAAAAAGCTTTCAGAAAATGTAACATCTAACTTTTTCTGCTACAGTAAAAAGCTCTCAGAAAATATCACATCTCAACTCGAATTGAAAACTCGAATCTGCAAGTGAACGAAGCAATAGTCACAGGAATGATCTCCCATTTATATTATAGGATATATTATATGGTCTTGTGCTTTGCGATTTTCATACTTTCTTCAGTACGAATTTTTAGAAAGATTTCTCACGAAAGTTTCTCTTACCCTTACTCCCAGTTTCTTAAATTGCAAAATTTGTCAGAAAGCTCTCGAAAAGCTCAGCTTGGAACGTGAATTTCCGACGCCAACTCCGCCGGAGGTGACAATAATTGTGAAAAGTCGTCGGGAAATCCATATCTTTAAAATATCGTAACATTGTTGCTTGACCTCCTATTTGGGCAATTCTTCTTCCTAGAAACTCAGCTGTGTGATCAGGTGAGGGAAAAAAAAACCCACCCCATGCATGATGCACCATTTCAACTCTCGTTGGAGCTCTTTATTTGATGTAGCTCGATTACACTTCATTTCCAAAATATTGTCTTCACAATGGCGGTTTGTCTATTCCAACTTGGTCAAACCCCCAAAAACCCAAAACCCCATGTTAGTTTCTTTGATACGCGAGATGGCAGAGTTTGGTCAAGTCGCCGTTTGATGTAGGTATCAGTTAGCTAGCTAGCTGCACTGCCACCACCAATATGAGCGGTGAGGTGCAATGAACATAACCTCTCGAGAAGGCCTCATTTACTCCGGCAGATTTGAATTTTCAATTTAAACTAAGATATGACATTTTTTGAGAGCTTTTAACTATAGCAGAAAAAGTTAGATTTGATATTTTTTAAGAGTTTTTAACTGTAGAAATCTAGATCTGAAAACTCGAATCGGTAAAATGAATGAGGTCTTAATTTGCAGTCCAAATCTATCTTGTTTTAGATTGAATAAATCTGAGCTGACCACGTCTTTTGAACTCTAGACATGACAAATTAAAGCTGGAGGGACATGATGTTCCATTGTCATACCAGATCAAGTAGTGTTTGTGCGATTTTCCGAACATCAACTTCCCGGGATCGGGAAAATCCCGCATCAAGTAGCCACACATGCTGCGATGTGCCATTGTTCGTGGTTGGCGTTCTGGTCGTGTCCCAGGTTTCCCAACCTTTGTTTCACGATAAGATACCTACTTTTCACTCGTTTTGACAAAATATAAGGTGCAGTTGTTCATGCCCATTCTTCGAGTAAATTAATCCATTTTATTAATTTTGAATAATTTAATTTGGTTGCACATGGACTAAGGTGAAGCAAATCGTTGCAACAGATATCAAACTCAAGTTGCTTGTCGCTTGGGTTAAAAAGATTATGACTTTTTGGGTGACGTGGGCTTTTTTTTTTTTTTTTTTTTTTTTTTTTTTTTTTTTTTTTTTTTACTCTACACCTTATTTCTACTCCTAGCATGCTTTTCAATATATGTGCACATTTTCTACTTCATTTTAGTTTTCGCTGAGTGCAAAACTATTCATCAGTTTTAACTTACGCAACCCTTCTAATATAAAAGATAAAAGATAAGAAACGGACACAGAGAGAGAATCTGATCATCGAATGTCTAATTATATTGTAGCTTTCTGGCTTGACTTTTTCTTTTAGTGATCTTTCTTTTGTAACATTAGAACGTTACAAAAAGTTCTTTACCCAACTTTTTTCAAACAGTAAGCCAAAAATATTCGGTTTTTTTCTTTTTAACGTGCATCGCGCTTTCTTCTTAACTCATGCTTTTAGTTTTATGTTTTATCTTGTTTTGTTTTGCCAACAGAAAAGTTCTCGACTTTGTTTTTTGTCTTTCGAAACCTCCAGCACTAGTTCCTATTTGCCGTTGCGCATACGTTTGAGACCAAGAATCATTTAATAGAACCTAGTTCGCAAAAGCTTCCCATTCGTGTCAAATCAAAAGGCATACATTTTTGTTTTTTGTTTTTTTTTTTGCCAATCCAAAAAGAAAAGAAAGAAAAAAAAAAAGCTTATATTGCCTCTTCGCCGCTCCTTCAGCCACAGTTCGTGGTTCAGAACCTCCCAGAGTGCCGACTGTTGACTTTCACTTTTCAACGAATATGATTTTTAGCAATGGGATGATTCACAATACGTGCACCTTTATAAGTAAATTTAAGTCTTATTAATTTTACTAATTTGAGTTTTTAATTTTAATTTATTGTAGTTATAAATTTTCATAAAAAATCACACATAATTTTTATACTACAGTTAAAAATTCTCACATTCAATCACATTTTAATTTAAATTAAAAATTCAGATCGACCAACTAACGAAGCCTTAAAGTTGACATATATATTATATTAGTTAAATGCCAGGTGCTATATTCACGGGTTGTGTATGCCAGGTGCTATATTCACGGGTTGTGTATATGAGGAGCAATGTTGTATGTTACATCTGTGTGTTTAAGTTTTAGGCCCGTTTAATTCGCTGATTCGAATTGATATGTGATTTTATGTGAAAATTTTTTACTGTAACAAAAAAATTAGATGTGATTGTTTCTAAAAACTTTTTACTATAACCAAACTTAAATCGGTGAAATGAATAGAGCTTTAATTATCGTCCTATTTTTCTCTTATCGTTTCTTTCTAGTAATATAATGTTAGAGTTAACTACGTGTTACTGTCACATGGACGAAGGAAGAGGGGGGACAAAAAAAGTTTGGCTCTTATAACCTTATAATCAAAAAATGCACTTCGACTGAATATTGCATGTGCATAGACAAATAGAACATGCATTAAAAAAAAAAAATTGGCAAGCAAAATCAGACATAAAATTATTTACACAGTAAGTATGAAAAAAATACATAAACAGGCATATATATATATATATATATATATATATATAAAGAACTCTACAAGAACAAATTGGACAAAAGGTATTAATGAGAGAATAATGGTAACATTCAGTTAAATTAATTGAGATTAATTAATTTAATTCTATAGTTAGTATTAATTAATCTAGAATTAGTGAAAGAATTTCAGTTATAATTATAACGTAAAGGACATTTTCTTTTAAAAATAATTGTTTTGAAATTGACACTGTTATTCCTCGAATAGTTTTAAGTGTTGATAACTAATTTTTCAGAACATGAATAATGTGTTATTCCATACTCTATTTAAATTAGATTTTGAAGTCTAATTATCAAATTTGCCCAGAAAGTCTAAGCCTATTTTTCTTTTTTTCCTTTTCTTTTTCTTTCGTTTTCTCTTTTTTCTCCTTTTTCTCTCTCTCCCATGTTGGCTCTCTCTCTCCACGCCGGCCACCTACCACCGATGAGATTCCGGTGTCGTTTCGCGACACCGCCCACACAATCAGAAAGCTCTCGACGAGATGGACTCGTTGACATGCCACATGACCTCCTTTCCGCCGGAAACAGCCGCAATTGTCGACAAATGTGCGAAAACTATCAAAACCCATGGCGTCTAACCCGTTGATTCTTGCCGGAAAGTTGTCGCTGGAGCCGCCCATTTTGGCCTCCGCGCCTCCTCTCCGTTGTGCACTATTCCGGCCTTCGTTGATGACACTGTTGGTACCGTTGGACTTAGACGACGAAGTAGAGCAAGAAGCAACCCTCAGCCGCCCGAATCCGATGCCGTTTACCGGAGATCAGAGCTCATCATCGCCGTCGTTGGGTTGGATGTGGTTATGATAATCCAACCGTTGGATCGTCATGATTTTAGTGTCAAAACACTAAGAAGGAAGTGGGTAACAAAAGTCCTCAACCAATTTTGAGATTCTATAGCCAGAGAATCAAGATCTAAGCCGTCGGATTATGTCGAAGTTGGCAGTTTCAATCTATATAGTTAGAGGCCGAATTTGGTGAAAGTGATCACACTATGGAACTCAGAAGGGTCGATTTAGGGGTGATAGGACCCAAGACCACCGCAGAAATATGCTCCGGCAACTTCCGCCGCCACCATCAGTGGCCTTATTCCGGTGAGCTTCCGTTCAGCAGCCTCCCGACCTCCGTTCGTCGATCCGGGTCCATGTCTTGACTCATTTCGACGTGTTGAACGCAACGGTGACCTCTGTTTTGGCTAATTCCACTCCCTTGAAAAGTCTACCTGTATCGTGCAAGCAGATCGAGGCGAATCGAATGGATTCGTTGAAGCTCAGAGCAAGCCGTGGAGCTTTAAGAATAAGCG